TAACTGCTACCACTTAGGCCTCCAGGGTTGAGATCCCTCTTTGTTACTTTTTAGCTCCCTTGTTTCTTATTGACTTCTTTATTTTCTGAGTCCTTGGGCTAAAACGTGAGTTCCTTCAGGGAAGAATTTTACCTGTTTTTTTTCACCCTCCATATTCTTGACACTCGGTGTCTAATACCTATTAGCTATTCGACATACGTTTGTTGAATGAAGACGGATAAGGCTTTCCAGAGAAATCTGCTCAAGGTTTCCTATACTCCCCTCCCTCAGGACATCCTTTCACTACACAGCCTTTGCACTCCTGTCTCTTACCCGTATCTCCTGTTTCAGCTCAAATGCCATGATGGCCTTTCTCCATGTTCACCCCACTCCCTTACACTTCATCACATCCCTTCTCCCCTAAATAGCTGGACTCTTGATACCCCGCTCTTTCAATTGCCAGCTAAGGAGTTGTGAATAAAATGACTTCATAACTCTGTGCCTCAGTTTCCTCATCTAAAAATGGGGGAAAACAGAGAAACAGAAAATCATGGTGGCTGCTGTCAGGATCACATGGAATAATCAGTGTAGGACGAAAGAGCCCGATCATCAACAAATGCTAAATATTCATAATTATTCCTACATATTTGAGCACTTAATCAGAATGCTGCCCTTAAATTTAAAATCTCAAATATTTTGGTTTTCTGTTCTTTCTGCCTATTCACACAGAGTCTAGCATAGTATCATATGTACTTATTGGGTAATTCGACAAATAGACATTTGGTTAAGCTCAATAAAGGAAATAGGAAAGGGATATAATGAAGAAAGGTAGGTAAGGTCTTTTATTAACTCAATTATATTTACCTTATATTCTTGAAATTCTGATGAGGAAATCTCAAGGCTTAATCAGTATTTTTTGCCAATAAATTCAACTTAGATTTCTATTTATTTGAGGATGCTGCCTCCTTTCAAGTAAACAGGCTTCAAACTTTTCACAAGATTGGTCATTTTTCTTACTCCTGAGAAATATTTTATTGGTATTGGCAAATAAGCAACAGAAACACTGTCTTGTGTTTGACTTTACCTAAATGGTAATTCATAGATCTATTAGACTGTTACCTGGATAATAGAAAATAAAATCAAGAAAACAAAAAAGCAAGCAATACTAATCTCCATCGTATAGGAATGTAAGTGAATATTCATGTGAAATTAATAAATACCAGGTGAAAATGAGCAAATTACACCAGCACACATTTATTGGGCTTAAGAAGGGATGTGTCATTGGCTTACCCTCTCTATCCTATAGGATTCCAACAATTTAAACTTCTCCAACTGGAAGTTATGAGTGTTGACGTAATGTTGCTGTCCCTGGACAGCTGAGCTCAGCAGCACTAGTTCCATGTTTCCTTTCCAAAGGATAGCTAAAGAAACATTCTTTTGACAAGTGTAATATGTTTGCTATGTTTCAGGAATTTTTTTTCACATTTTCCTCTATAGCTCAATGTATTGTTCCATGATTTCTGTGGGCTTGATTTATGTGGGGTCAGGTGCAAAAGTTAGTAAAAAGCACAATGTTCAGAATAGACCAGAGTAATCTAAATGAGGGTCATAGATTTGATGCTCTGGAAAAGAAATTTTCACCTCCTGTATGTACGGAGCTTCATCTACCATCCAGGCATTATTTGACTGGTTGATGGATTTTAAGTATGGAAAGGTTTCACTTTCTTCTTCTTCTTTTTAAACTTTTTTTTTTTTTTTTTTTTGTCAGAGAGAGTGAGCACAGGCAGACAGAGTGACAGGCAGAGGCAGAAGGAGAAGCAGGCTTCCTGCTGAGCAAGGAGCCCGATGTGGGACTCGATCCCAGGACATTGGGATCATGACCTGAGCTGAAGGCAGCCACTTAACCAACGGAGACACTCAGGTGTCCCTTCTTCTTAACTTGTAAGTGGATAATGTATCCAACTGATACAAAATATAATTCTTTGACAAGTCCTTTAAAAAAATTAACCCATAGTATACATAATTCTGTAACTTTATTCTCCTGACAACATGTCATAGGCATCTTTCTAGGTCAATAGTTAAACTCCAGCTCATCACTTTTAATACCAACAAAATATACACAGTATGGGTATATTAACAATTTTCAACCAGTCTATGGATGGCTAATCAGGTTGTTTTTAGGTTTATTTTTTACTTACTACAAGATGGAAATTAATATTTTCATATGTATGTCTTTACATACGACCACCTTGGTTTCTATAGGGTAGATTCCAGATTATAAGACCAATGGATCAAAAGGTATACAATATGTAGATCTGTACATAAATCTATATATTTACATTTTTTCTATAGAAAGATCTGGATACTGTCATATTTACTTAGCTTTTTTTTAACTTCATCAGTCTTGATTTCCTAATGGAAATTGTTTTTTTTAATCACACAAAAATAAAAATCATGCCTTGCCTTACTCAGAAAACTTCAACCCAGCAATGAAATATGTCTCAAATCAAATACTTTTTAATTGTTACCATGATATACATGGATAATTGTCTATATTTTTTCAGCATCCTATCTTCTGATTTTTCCCCCTCAAACTTACTGACAATAGTGTATGAGCTTTGTCCACCACAAAATTGACCACATTTTCAGACTCAGCAGAACAAAGCATTTAGTAATATCAGTAGAACAAAGCATTATTAATCACATTTTTATTTAGATAATTTACAAAGACTCAGTTGTTCTTGAAATTTTATAAGTCAAATCTACTATTTTCTTTGCCTATTTTCAAATATTAGTCTAGATATTGAGCCAGCACATTTTTTTCAATAAGTGCTAAAATATACAGTACACATCATGGCCTGCTCTGAAATAAAGGTGAGAAATTTTTTTCTACTTTTTGATTCTGAGCCAATTATTTATTGGCCAGTCCCTCAAGTAAAGTTGTTGGACTTGTACAGACAGAAAATGTGTCCAATTGACTCATAATATTTCTTAATAAGAAGAAGAAAAGAGAAAAACCCTAGTATTTAAAAAAATAATTCCTTTTTTATTCATCAACCATAAAATATATTATTTCATTTAATTTATAATGACCTATAAGTATTTATAGATGAGGAAACCGAGGGTCAGAGAGGTTCAGTAACATGCCCAATGCCTCAGAACAAATAAGTATTGCTCCATTGCTCCATTTTCCTTCTGATTTTGAGACCACACTACACACGAATAGGTCCCCAGTTCCCTATTTAATTCTATACATTGATCACCTATTTTTGTCCCAATCATTTTTCCTCTCATAGTTGTAATCAGCTGCCAGTGATGGTATAGACATGAAGGTAAAGTTTCAATGGGCTACAGTATTTCTACATAACTGGAGGGGAATTCTGACTTAACATGAGTGAAGGCCTCTGGTCTACTCTTGGAGCACAAGGGAGAATATTTCATGGACCATTGGGTTGGTCCCCCTTTTAAGGCTGACCTTTCTCGCAGAAGCTGTGCTGGTTGGTGACAGAGCTACGTTGCATGGAACACTTTTTAGCCTCAGATCGCAGGCTCCTGCTACTGAAGATATTTTCTACCCAGGATCTCAAAGCTACTCAGTAAAAATGAAAAAAATATCTCATACGACCTGCTGGGTGAACATTCCTCTCCCCTTCTGTTTTTTTAACCCTAAGGCTTATTGGGGAAGCTAATGACAATTTTCTTTGAGGTTTTTAAAGGACACATTGGAAAGTACTTCAAATCTCTCCTCCTTAATAAGCTGATCATAGGGTGGGGGGAGGGGTTGAAACATTTCCATCCTTATTGTATTACATCAGGAGTCTACCTGCATAATTTTTTCACTGATAATTCTGGCAATTTTTGAAAGTGGAAATTTTAAGCAAGATTCACATCATCTTAAGAGACACAACAACACATTCTCACCCTTGGATTGTCACAAAATACAAAGCTTTTTGCAGTTTAATATGCAAAATTGTAGACAGGGGGTTTTATCCCCCCCTTAATATGGTGGCTGACTATAATGCCATTGTGTATGTAATTCTTTGATTTGACTAATAATATTTTCTTCCAGCATTAAGTATTTTTAAAACTACTGACATATGTGAAAATATTGCCTTACTGTTTTTTTTTTAAACTAATGTATAGTATAATTTTACTGATTTTTTATGTGACTCTAGTCTTGCTGTTTTTAAAAAATAATACAGGAAGAGGCCTAGCTTGGAGAAGTTTAAATGAAAATCTACTGGGAGTGGAGGGATGGAGGTGGAAACTCTTTGTAAATGGCAAGAAACTCTTTTTCTCAACTCTTCTATTGCCAGTCAAGTCTTCCGGGAGGAAATAAAACATCACACAGAGCCTGTCGTTCCTGCAGGTTGAGGTTAAGTTTGAACCTTCCTTGCTAGTCCCTCCACCAGCGTGGCGACCCTTCTCTGCAAGGTGAACTTCCATTAACGGAGCTCCCAAGGAACCAACCTGCGGCACCTGAAGCTGATGCAGAGCAGCACAGAAGTGCTTCGAGGAGCTTCTTGCCCTAGGCGACTATTCTATGCACACAAGCTCTTACAAAAGTCGCTTGTGCTCAGCGAAAGGCATCCCCCCACCTGCAGGCACAGAGTAACGAGTGCATACCCACACACCCCAAGTTCAGGAAGCTGGGCTCATGGACATCCCCCCTGCCCCACGACTCCCCCGCTCGGGAGCACCTTCCGCAGAGAAGGCAAGCGTTTCCCTTCTTTTTTCACATCTTTCAAGTTGCCAAACCTGGGACTGGGTGACACGGGGCAGAGACTGAGTCTTTCCTGTGTTGCCCTGGGACAGGAAGGACCCTGAGGTACTGCGGCATGTCCCAGAGATGCGCAAGCATCTCGCGCTCCTTGGAAGCTCCCGGCGAGGACAAAGAGGGTCAGAAACCGAGTAAGAAATGGGCGGGCTGCGGGGAGACTGGCTCTTGGGCTGCTGGCGAATGCCATAGGGAACAGTGCCCAGGGACTCCGCGCGCCCTCCCTGTCCCGGGGTGCGCTCACCATTTGTAGCCTCTGCCGCGCTTGAACTTGAGGGTGAGCCCAGTCTCCAGAAAGAGCAAGAGGTTGAGCAGCGCGAGCAGCCAGTACCGCGGCTCCTTCTTCACCTCGGTCACTCGCCAGACCCCAACCAGAGAGTGCAGCACGAACAGCAGCCGGGTGGCCAGATTGTTGAGCAGGACCAGTCCCTCCATGCCGGCCCGCGCGCTCTGCCTGCCGCCCCCCGACCCCCGCCTGCGCCCCCGCAGGCCCCCTCGGGAGCCCCGGAGCCCGCCCGTGGGCGGGAACCTGACAGCTCGAGACCCGCCGCTGCTGCCGTCCCTCCTCAGCCTCCCGAGCAGGGAGAACAGGAGACAGCGGCTCGCCCCTCCCCCAAACTTCCTGACAACTCTCAAAGAGGGGAGAATCTAAACCCAGCCTGTCTAGACTGCTGGGCTTTCCAGGGAGTTCTGGGGCTGCGCCTCCGGGATCTCCGGGGCGTTATTCCCCGGCGCTGCCCATCTCCCTCTCAATCCCGGGAGCCAGGCTCCAACCCTGCAGTCTACCCCATCCCACCCCCGCAGGGTGTCCTCCAAAACTTCCCCACTCCCAGAGATAGGGTGGAGTGAGGGTCGAGATGCTACATAGCCTGAGAGGGGGGAGGAGGATGCATCACTGCCATCTCCTCCCTGGCTTTTCCAGCGAAGTAGTTTGATTCACTCACACTTCTTATGGGAACAAGCTGTCATAGTGACTCTAAGCTGGAACCGGAGGAGGGCCCAAGAATCCGCTGTCCAAGCAGTTTTGGAAATGCTGTTCCTGCGCAGTTTGAAGAATGAAACTTCACAGGACTAGAGGAAATCAGATGGGGGGTTTCTGAGAGCGGTCCCTGCACCTCATTTAAGGAGTGGGTAGCCCAGGTTACTCCCACTCTTTGGTCAATGTGTTATCAAAGCAAAGAGATGTTCTTTATTATGTCGTCCCTACTCTCACTACCCCCCCACCCCCCACCCCTTGGAATTTCTTCTGAAAGTTGGAGGTTAGCAAGGCAGGAAGGCAGAGGGGAGACAGAAGAAGGAAGGAGAGGATAAAGCCAGGGGTTGGACTTGTGGGAGCAATTCATGCAGCTGGGAAGGCACCCTTGAGATCAATGACCAATGAATTCAACTCTGGTCTTTCTAGCATCCAAGGTGAAGAGGAAACTGAAGTCAGGGTTTCCCAAAATACCTTCATGATTTCTGTTCCCTTGTTTCCCTACTGCCTGTACCACTATTTATTTGACACCTTTCTTTAAATGAACTCAAATTTTTACTGAAATAATTTTTAAAATGAAACTTTATATCACTTGCAAATGGAAAAACCAGTATAGTAGGCCAGAGGTAGATGGTATTACAAAAACAAATAAAATAAAATGAAACTAAGTTTTTGAAATCTCAGTAGATATTAATTATTGCCTTCTAAGACTCTGTACCTCAGCCTCCTTCTTTCTGGGGAGATAAAAAAAATGCCAGGGGGCACCTGGGTGGCTCAGTGGGTTAAGCCTCTGCCTTCCCCTCAGGTCATGATCCTAGGGTCCTGGGATCAAGCCCCACAGAGTGCTCTCTGCTCAGCAGGGAGCCTGCTTCTCTCTCTTTCAGCCTGCTTCTCTGCCTACTTGTTATTTCTGTCTGTCAAATAAATTTAAAAAAATAAATCTTAAAAAAAAGAAAAAGAAATTCCGGTCATAATACTACCAAACAGGGATGTTCTCTTGACCACATTAGTAAAACTGAGAGAAAAACACAAAAGGAGTATCTTGGTTAGGTTTATTCAACTTATGATCATCCCTTACCTTTCTTAAAATTAGGTTGAAAACTCTGAATTATATGATTAGTGTGTTCATGAAGTGAAAAAAAATCCAGTTGCTTAGAAGCTCAGTTACTTCTGATACTGTTATCAGGAAGATTTTCCTTTCCCCGTGTGTGTGTATTCTTCCATATCTCAGGAAACCCAGCAGTGATTTCCTGGGACATCTTATCATAGTGCTTTTCATTGTGGGGTGATGGCATAGTGACCAGTGACCTCACGCTATTCAGTGACACACAAGAGCACAGTGTACCAGTGCAGTGGGAGGCAGGGTGGTGTGGACACTGGAGCCTAGAGCCAGGCCAGCTGGCTGCCTTGGAGTCCTGGCTCAGCCACTTAGTAGTGTTATAACCTTTGTAACTCAGTTTCCTTATCAAGCCTATTAACTTATAGGGCCATTGTGAGGATCAAATGAGTTAATCTATACAAAGCACCTGGCAGGTAATAAGTACTTGGTAACACTGGTGATTATTGCCTGGACCAAAAAAGTTAGTTCCACGCTCTTTGATGATCTGTGACAAGTAACACTAGGAGTAGAGCAGACAAACATAAGACCTGTCAAAGCCTCAGGCTGAACACCATCAGGAATACATCTGTTGCTGAACAAGTTTGGTTTACTGGTCTTTTAGGGAGAAAGAGCACACTCCAGGGAGAACTGTGGGCATCTCAGGAAGAAGATATTAGAAGGATTAGAGAGAACTTACTAGAAAGGATATGGGCTTGTGTTAGGTGCTTTAAGGAGGACTAAGAAAGTAGGGCTTGACTTTAATTGGATGCTCTGAGGAAGTGGGGTTAATTCTGTAATGGGTTGTCTTAATAAAGCTTACTTAGGGGACTGTTTGGACAGTTAGGACAATGTTTATGTTTTGTTTGAGTTCAGACACAACGACAGAGTGATCCTGTCTTTATCTTGATCCATCAGGCTCACAAAATGGCTTTGCTTGATATTCATACTCGGTGAAAGTTTTGTGTTCAACAGGAGAATGGCAAGGCCTGGCTGCTGGGCAGACCAGTTTCCTGCGGTCAAGGTTGGCTTCTCTCCTTCTCAGGCTTCCTAGGAAGGGCTCCAAGAGAAGGGTTTAACAAGAAAGGAAGAAAGTCAGTCTAACAGCTTCCAAACATCTTTGCTGCTCTCTGTTTTGAAGGTTTAGGTCAGTATAGGATCCATTTCCTCTGGGTCTGAAAAACAAAACTGTCATTAAATGGAACTTTGAGGTTATTTAAAAAAAAAAAATTCTCCTAAGCTCATTTTAGAAGACTGGAGGTTGGGGTACCTGTGTGGCTCAATCAATCAGTTGGGTGTCTGACTCTTGGTTTTGGGCTCAGGTCCTGATGTCAGAATCATGATCTCAGGGACGTGACATTGAGCCCTGCCTCAGGGCTGTACGCTCAGCACAGAGTGTGCTTAAGATCTTCTCTCTCCCTCTGTCCCTCCTCCCACTCATGTATGTGCTCTCTCTTTCTCTCTAATATAAATAAATAAACTTATCTATCTATCTTTCATCTATCAATCTATCTAAAAGAAGACTGGAAGCTTTGAGAACTATCTTGAGATCTCCAATCCAATACAGCAGCAAGCTTTTAAAAAAGAAAAAAAATATGTAGTTTTTTTTTTTTTAAACTACTCTCCTCAAAAAATCAATTTTAGCCTCATGCAGTCAATTCTTGTGGTATAGGATTGGGTTGCACAAAGTGGAGCTCACCTTATTGTCCCAGGGGACAGCAGTCACCAGGCCTCTCTTGCCTTCTGAATGCAAATTGAAACCCATGTCAAGCATTTATTTCATTTAGAGTGATTTTGGTTGCACGCAAGAGTCTGTCTCAAGCTAATTCAAGTAAAAGGAGTAGTTATTAGAAGGGTACATATGGCCTTATAGGAGATGGAACCCCTTGGAACTCAAGCACAAGCATTACAGTAGAGCCTTGGGCTGGAATTGTAAGACAGCTGTGGACTTGAGTGACTCTGGGATCTCATGGTTACAGTTTGTAGACCTTTTCATAGCAGCTCTCTGACCCTGTCCACCTCCAGGCAAGTCTTTCCACATTCTGAGTTCAAATTCCTAAGAAAAGGAATTCACTGAACTCTTTCAACTCTAGTTACCAGGTCACATTATGGACAGTGAATAGGCTATTGAATGACTGTAATCTGGTCACTGATCATCCCTAAGGGAAGACCAACACTGATGCTACTTTATCATCTTTCAACATGGCATTCTGGGTAGGGCAGTATAAGCAGGGGAGGAAGGGTCACAGCAGGCACATTGACTAACATCTAGGACCATTCACTGCTCAGCTGATATGCACACATCCTATGCCTACAGTCCTAGAGATGTCCCTCTCTGAAACTACTTAAACACCGTACATGCAGTTATGGGCTCACCTATGACCTCCCAACAGCAATGCAATCCAAAATCATCTTCATCCATCAGGAATCATCCTTTGATTCATCATCAAATCATCACCAAAGCTGCAATGTATCTCAAAAGCTACAACTTCCTAGCCACAGCCCCCAAGGATGCTCTGATTCTTTTTATACTTTTGCTAGGAGTCTTACCCCATTCCTATCTGTGTCCAAAGAACAGCTCCCAGATTTAGCTGGAAATCATTGATGACTTTGAGTAAGGAAGCAGACAAGATCTTCAACCATTTCTGCTGTCTTGAATGCAGTGATTTCACAGACCCCTTAAGCACGACTTCTCTTTGCTCTGGCTGGTAGGACTTCAGCTTCGTGGGGGCTCTCACGGAAGAACCGTGCTCACCTCTGCTAGCTTTGGCTATTTTCCTATGCTCTGGTTTCACCATGGACTCCTGGAATTCCTGGAAGTCCTCAACATTCTGGGTCCACCCCTTCCTTCTTCCTAGTACTGGTTGTATTGCATACTCTTTGGTTTCAAAAATTATTTCTAATATTTCAAAGATGAAGTCTTAGTTTCTAGACCAAAATTTGAATCAGAAGACTCACAGATTTCTTTGTGAAATATGTGGATTAGATAGGAACAGCAACTGCAACTCTTGTATGTTATGTATGACAGTGAAAATAAGCAGAGCTTTATTAAGTTATCATTAACAGTAATGATTACTCTTCTTTTAAAAAAGAAACTAAAGGTCAGTGGATGATCAAGTTTCAGAGCTAGCAAGGAAGTTCCAAAGCTAGCAAAGAAGAGAAGTCTAAAGTGCCAGTGAAGGAACAGGAGTGAGGTTTCCTTCTTCAATTTGCCTTCTTGGGCCCCGGCTTCACTTCCTAAGTGATGCAACTATAGGTCACAAATTCCTTAATCTCCTTGAGCCTTGGTTTCTTATCCATAAGATAAGAATGATAGTATCTTCATGTCTACTGTAAGGATCAAATTGGTTGATGTTTCAAAAGTGCTTATAAAAATGCCTGAAATATAGCAGGCACTCAGTAAATATTTGTTGAATAAGAAGATATGAGTGAGGGTTGAATAAACAACATCTGAAACAGAAATGTGTTATTCTCCAGCTGGTACCATCACGGAGTCTTCTTCTAAGGCCAGCTGCTTGTACATGATATGGGAAGTAATAAAGCCAGTAAATGTCATTGGTCTGAGCTCAAGGCCTCATTCCTGGAGGAGATCCCAAAGAGATCACAGATAAGTAGAGACACTGCATGTTTGCTGGTGATGATAAGCACGTCTAACGCTGGTGGTTTTACTACCCTGAGTAGTGTGAGACTCATCTCCCAGGAGAGCTGAGTTGTTATGTATAGTTAGGATTTTGACTTTGGAGTCATACAGCTTGGGTTTGAATCACAGCTCCTATATGGACTGACTTATGTTCCCCCAGACCCACATGTTAAATCTTAACTTTTAGTGCCTCAGAATGTAACTAGATTTTAAGATAAGGTCTTAAATAAGCAATTAAATAAAAATGCAGCCATTAGGGTGGGTCCTAATCCAGTTTGACTAGTGTCTTTCTAAAAAGAAGAAATTTGGGCACACAGAGAGATATTGGGGATACACCAGCACAGAAGAAAGAACATGTGAAGACACAGCAGGAAGGCCGCCATCTGCAAGACAAGGAGGGAAGCTTCAGAAGAAATCAAACCTGCCAACACCTTGATCTTGGACTTTCTGTGATCCAGGTTGAGAGAAAGTAAATGCCTATGGTTTCAGCCACCCCATCTGTGCTGATTTGTTACAGTAGTCGGAGCAAACTAAAGCTTCAAGCATATGATCTCAGTAAAGGTGGGTAGGTTTTGCTCTCTCTCAGAGCCTCAGTTAACTCATTGGCAGAATGAGGATATTAGCGGGACTTAATCCATAGATTTTTGAGGATGAAATGAGGTTGACATTTAACACCAAGTCTGCCTCACAGTAAGAGCCAAACATGTTAGCTATCATCATTATTATTGTTGCTATAAACAGTGATAGTTATTATTGTTGTTACTAATGTCTTCAGAGGGTACAGCTATCAGGCACCTTCCCTATGTGGTTGGAAAGTGAGCAGCACGGTTACACACCCAAAATAGTGCATCTTTTTTTTGTAATCACAACCCTATTTTACAGATGTGAAAATAACCTTTTTTTAAATGATTTTTGGGGTCTGGTAAAAAGGCCTGAATATTCAACAGAATAAAGTATGACTATAAAACACAAAATAATCAGTTTGAAAAAGAAAGTTTATCCGAAACAGGAATTTAAATCATGATGCTTAGTTCATGTAGTTTGTGTGCACTGTTAGGTAAATGGACATTTTGATCCATTTTGAATTTGTTCAAATTAGCCAAGGGTGATAGCTATTGCTTGAAGATACTATGTGTCATTTAATCATGAAAATTCTCTTATTCTAAGTTTTTTTTTTGATGTATAGTTGACATACAATATTATATTAGTCTTAGGTGTGCAGCATAGTGGTTCAATAGTTATATACATTACTTGATGTCCACCATGATCAGTGTAGTTACCATCTGTCACCATACAGTTATTACAATATTATTGATAATATTCCCTATGCTGTACTTTCCATTGCAATGACTTATTTATTTTATAACTGGAATTTTGTTCTTCTTTCTCCACTTTACCTATTTCACCCATCCCCCTATACCCTTCCCTCTGGCAGTCACTAGTTTTTT